GTGTTTGTGCATACGCCACATTCATTAATGAGAGCCCTGATGATCTAGATCAGGGCTGTTTAATCCTGGAGATCTGCTGTCCTGCAGAGTTCAGCTGCAGCCCTGATCACACACTCCTGACCTTCAGGATCAAGCGGACTCTGACTGGAGCAGGACTGAGCAGAGCTGATCTACATCATTTATTTAGATCAACATAATAACTCATTATGAAAGCCACACTCTTCATATGCACTAGCAGTGTGCGTGTGTGTTAAGTGCACTAGACTGTAGGGTGTGTCGTGGTTCTGTGAAGTGTTCTCCAGTGTCCGTCTGGTGCTCAGTGCTGCTCCTTGTGAGCCGCCGCGCCGCACATTCAGCAGTGCTCCCTCATTTAACACCTGATTTACATCACCAGCTCCTCATAGGAGAGCTCCCTACATAGTGTTCACTACTGTCTATCATCTGCACACAGGAAATCAGCTGAACTTAGTTTACTTTACTTTAAAACAGTTATGTGCACTTCACAGTGTGCGGCGTCTTCAGATGATGTGCTGAAGTGTGAAGAGATGTTTAACCGTGATCGAGAGGTTCATCGTCACGTCTCGTCTCGCGCACTATAATGCAGTCTGCTTCCTTCAAACGAGAATCATGGCAGAATGATCTGTGACGTCCACTACTCAGGGCACTTACTGTCGAATTAAACACACACAAACATGATTAGAGCGGGTCATGGGGAGTCGGATGGAGAACCGCTGATCTACACAGTACAGTGGTGTTCCCTCATTAGGGTGACTCTCAGGGTTCAGGATGTTATTGGGACAAGGCCCGAGTTCTCCAACAATGCTTCATTCTGTGGTGTTTATGCAGTGAGTTCGTCATCGTACAGGAAACACACACACCAGCTTGGTTGAAGGCGTTTATTAAGGATAAAGGATGATTGAAGGGTTAATAAGTGCAGCAGAGGGGTTACAGCGGTGTATCAGGACGCCTTCTCTGAGCCACAGATGGAGTGTGTGTTTACAATCAATCTGATGAAGACCACTGACTGAAGCGGAGCGTGACCCATCCTTATACTGCTGTCCTATTCACTTTACTACATCACACACACACACACACACACACACACACACACACACACACACACACATATATATATATATATATATATATAGTGTCAAACCCACACAAGGTTGATCAATTAATGAATAGTAAATGAAATAGGACTAAATGTGTCCCTGTGTTGTTGTTGGACAGAGTGGCTGGAGGAGTGGGGCCCTTAGGGGTCACGGCCTACACACACACACACACACTTTAGCACATTGCAGGACTGAACACACACACCTTCAACACATTAAGTCTGAACACATAGACACTGCAGGACTGCACACACACACACACACCTTCAACACACTTCAGGACTGAACAGGCACACTGTTCAGCTGACACACACACACACACACACAATACCGACGGACACTCCAGTATTAATGTGTAGTTTTGGCTCCTCGCTGGGTCAGTTATGGACAGACTCATGATTAGTTTAATCATCACCCAGGGTTGTTTTGTCCGTATTTGACCCAGCCTTGAGTTGAAACAGCATTTGTAAGTATAAGTATTGTGTTTTGATTTAAATGACATTACTGTGAGTTTGAGGAAGCTGCAGCAATTGCCTCTGCTGTGGTGAAGGGCACGCGCCTCCAGAGCGCGCTTCAGTCCTCTGTGTTTGGTCAAACTGGTCTGATTCCCTTCAGTGACCTCTGCTGCAATAGTGAGAGTGTCAAAGCCTGCGAACATGTACAATCAGCCGAGAGATTGTGTTGGTACAATTACCAAACCAATGCGGAACCAATATCAATCACATGGCGAACCAAAAATTAACAAAATGACAATGTATATCGCTATTAAATTAATTAAAGATATTTGTCAAGCGCGTGCTGCCTTTTCCCGCTCTCTGCATGTCACGCGCGCGCACTACAGCACTGTTCTGCAGTATTCTCACCTCCATATCATTAAAAAAGCAGGAGCCGAGCACTCCATCAACCCGTCTCTCCCTCCCTCTCAAACACACACACACACCCGCGCGCGCGTTCAAATGGAGACTGCAAACACACACTCAGACGCATCACTATAGACATTTCAATGTGGTTCTCTGCTTGTCAAACTCCTTCAACAGGAAATACATTAGGACAATTATTGTTATTATTATTATTGTATTATTATAGTTTGCAATCCTCGAAATAGTCTATATAACCCCAAATAGCCCAGAATGATGACTCTAACCCTTTGCTTCAGTCTGTGTGTGTTTTGTGACAGTTTTATAAATTAGGAGGTCATTAAAGGAGATTTAAATGCTCTTAATTGTGCTCAGTGTAGGCTACACTCTAAGAAGTGCTGGGTTACTTAAACCCAAACTGGGTATAATTTGGATTAACCCAAACATTGGGTGAACGTTTATTCTATTAATTTAATTAAAATGTTACCCAGCAGTTTATTCCGCATTACACCCAGATTTGCGGTGAAGTAAACTAACAGTTTTACAATTATAAATGTAAGTGGCACACGCGTGCTCCTTCTCTCCAAATATACATCTCGATGCCGACCAGGGCTATGTTAAATACAAGTAAATAAAGCATAATAATAATAATAATAATAATAATAATAATAATAATAAATAATAACAACAATAAACAATAATAAATAATAAAAATGAATAATAACAACAACAACAACACTAAATAATAATAATAATAACAATTAATAATAATAATAATAATAAAAACAATAAATAATAATAATAATGGCAATAAAAATTTATAACAATAATAATAACAAAAAACAACAACAATAAATAAATAAATAAATAAATAAATAAATAAATAAATAAATAAATAAATAAATAATTGTCGCAACTTAAGAATGTTTAGTCCTCCATTAAAGCAGCGCACTGCGTTGGACATCATGCGCATTTTCAATAATTCAGCGGCCGGTAATTACTCTTATACACCGTCTACAGTGTTTATAAGCGGTGTGCTGATGGCCATGCATGAACACACTGCAGCAAAC